TCCTAAAAAACTCCATTCCATTTCAATAGATATAAAACTCATTTCATTAGATATAAAACTCCATTTCATTAGATATAAAACTCCATTTCATTAGATATAAAACCCCATTTTATTAGATATAAAACTCCATTTACTTCATAAGATATAAAACTACATTTCATTAAATATAAAACCCAATTTCATAAGATGTAAAACCCCATTTCATTAGATATAAAACTCCATTTCATTAGATATAAAACTCCATTTCATTAGATATAAAACTCCATTTCATTAGATATAAAACTCATCTCATTAGATATAAAACCCCATTTCATCAGATATAAAACCCCATTTCATTGGATATAAAACCCCATTTCATTGGATATAAAACCCCATTTCATTAGATATAAAACCCCATTTCATTGGATATAAAACTCCATTTTATTTCATGAGTCAAGGTACAGAGTAGGAGGGTAAAAAGCTCCATTTCAATTGATTAGCCCATACAATTTCATTTTTAGCCACAGAACATTTGGATATAAAATTCTAAGATTCTGACTTACCCTGATAATCTTGTTGTCCTCCGAGAGTTGCCCAGAAATGTTTTCCAGCTCCTAATCGTTGTTTCTCCTCCTCTATGGTGGCTACAGACGTCCCTGACCTACATCCCATATCTCGTTTGGTGTGAATAAATGATGTTATATCTGCTGCCTGAAAGGATGAAAAATAAAATTGCAATATATCTGCTCCACTTGGAAACTTGGAAATGTAGAATGCATTGTTGGAAATTCAGCAGAACAGTGGCAATAGCCTACTATAGTAGTTTGCAATGTTAGTAGCAAACATGGTCTCTGTTTTTTGTCCCATAAAAAATTTTGACTCTTTTTCCATGTCAGACTCTGTTAGTAACATCACTGATCAACCTTTGTAATTTTGGATTGTTAGTACTTGCTTTTTTATTAAAGACTGTCAGTTATTCTTACCTTTGCTTTTTCTATGACATTACTAAACGTTCCGACCCAGTTGATGATTTTGTCTGGAGTAATAAGTACGTAACAATCTCCACTGTTGATAGATAGACTGGTAGGCGCCACTAATCTCGTCTGTACATTTCTACGACCTGCAATAATATAAACATAAATAATCAAAACAGATTTCTCAGTGCAAACCACAAAAACAGAATCAAGATCCAACAACATACAATATAAAAATTATCATTATTACATTTGGAAAATTAACCTTCCATTTCCAAAACTTAGCTGTCCTGATGAGGATAATGTATCTGAAACATGTGTCAGCAGCAAGAGATGAGCTCTAGTCAATAACCCTACATTCAAAAAAACCAGCTGTACTGATGAGGATTGTGTATCTGAAACATGTGTCAGTAGCATGAGATGAGCTTTAATCAATGAGAAAACTCAGGCCTGTATCTTGCCAAGGGTCTCAAAGTGGAGGGGGGGTGGGGGGGGGGGGGGGGGCACAACAAAAGCCATTCCAGTCACTTGAATTTTTCAATGGGAGCCCCCTAAAATACAGCCTGAGGACACTAACAAAACTACATGTAATGACATATCGGAATGGAGATTCATAACAATTTCTTCACAATAGATTCAGATAAATTAACAGTTATAATTATAAGAGTAAAAATGTGTACCTTTAACATGTAGTAACATATTATCTTTAAAGGGATCCAGTCTATCTTTACTGCCAGGTGTCGATGTAGCGTCTGTTTTCCTCAATGCTACTTTAGAGAAATTCTCTTTACTAGCTAACCCTGCCAGTGCTTCTTCAGCAAATCCTACATCTTTAGAAACTGAAATTAGAAGTTACAAATTAAAATAAGGGAAAATATTTGAAGTTTACAAGCAATTTTTATAGAAGCACACCTTGCTATCCTGATATTCCCAGAATGAACAAAGTGACACAAAATTCAAAGGAGTTTTGCTTTCTATTTTCTGCACCAGATTGGAATAATGAATACACAGTATGCAATGATGGAAATTATGCCAGGACAGTGGCTTTAGCCTACAATTTTTCAATTCCCTGTCTCTGAGGGATGTTTAATATGCACAGCCTGTAGCACAAAATGCCTTGGTATATTGTCCAACAGACCACGACCCTGTTCCACAAAAAATCTTAAGATAAAAATTTCTTGTCAATGCAGAATTTTACATTGAGATATACCATAGTGACGACAAAATTATCTTAAGATTTTTTGTGGAACAGGGTCGAGGTGCCTAGAATTCAAGTTTAAAGTTGACTTACTTTTTTCAGTTTTGAGTCGTTTGAGTTCCTTTTCAGCCAGTCCTGTAGTAACTTCTGTATATTCACTTCGTACTTCTACAGATATTCTCTTCATAGGGTTAGAACTTTTAGTAGGACGATTTCTTACAGGACGGATTTTCTTTACTGATGTCAATCTGAAATAAGGTTACATGGATATGTCAACGAATGGTTGGATGTCTAGACGGAGAGATGGATGTTTTGATTGATGGCTTTATGGATGTAAGGATGGATGTTTTGATTGATGGCTTTATGGATGGAAGGATAGATGGATGAATGTTTTGATAAATGGGATTGGATGGGATTGAATGACCTGAAAATTTAACTTAAAATGATTTTATCATCTGATTGGTCAATCACTAAAATTGATTTTAAATTCTGTTTTATTATCCAATCAGATTACTGTATTTCTTAAAATCTGAATTTTATCTAAGTAAAGTTTTGGAGAATCAACCCTGATGAATAAATGGAAGATCCAATGGTCATGAACAAATGAATGTGTGAATGAATTAATGCAAATTTAAGTATCCAACTTACATATCATTAGAGTTGATAAAAATATCATTAAAATCATCAATATCTACATCGATTTTCTCTGGATTCTCATCAAATTGTAGAAAAAAAGAATCAACATCGTTGGAGGCAATTTGTGGTATTTCTACTGTCGTTACACTCTCTGTTATAGTGCTAGTCTGAATCTGTTCACTTGATGAAGTTTTAGTTGTTGTTGATGCTGTTGACGTTGATGCTAAAATTGAAAGTTATGTTTCAGGATTGAAATTGGTCTCCATTGTGAAGGCAAGGTAGAGCAAGTTCACTCTTCAAGAACACCTGTGTGATTGGATTTATCAAGACAGCATCCTTTTCAGAGAGTCCACATAGCTAATAATGTTTAATTCGCATAGGTTTCTCAACTAGGGGTAGTAAGTTCTAGGGTAGAGGTAGTAAGTTCTAGGGTAGTGGTAGTAAGTTCTAGGGAAGGGGTAGTAAGTTCTAGGGTAGGGGTAGTAAGTTCTAGGGTAGGGGTAGTAAGTTCTAGGGTAGGGGTAGTAAGTTCTAGGGTAGAGGTAGTAAGTTCTGGGGTAGAGGTAGTAAGTCTAGGGTAGGGGTAGTAAGTTCTGGGGTAGGGGTAGTAAATACTAGGGTAGGGATTGTAATAACTCACCATGAGAGATGATATCTTTGGGTAATGGAATACGTTCTAGGGTAGGGGTTGTAACAGGTGATTCTGAAGGAGAGTTGTCTTTAGACCCCAGATCTATCACCATTGCTTCTCGTTTAGTCTTCAATCTCTTTACCAGTGGACTTTGAACAGTACCAACTACAACAACAAAACATCAAAACATCAATACACAGTCACAAAAACAAGGATAGGTAATAGTCAGTATCACTGGAATTTTCTGCTCACTACAACACCAGATTGAAATTAAAACAGAAAACTGCATTGTACTATCTCTGTCAAAACAACCTAGAGTTATGTGAGTCTGGTGTTTCTATAAACAGACAATAGTACAACAGTGGACCGCTCTCTAGAATATAACCTAGAGTTAGGTGATGTCTGGTGTTTCTATAAACAGACGATAATACACCAGTGGACCACTCTCTAGAATATAACCTAGAGTTATGTGATGTCTGGTGTTTCTATAAACAGACAATAGTACACCCGTGGACCACTCTCTAGAATATAACCCAGAGTTAGGTGATGTCTGGTGTTTCTATAAACAGACAATAGTACAACAGTGGAACACTCTCTAGAATATAACCTAGAGTTAGGTGATGGCTGGTGTTTCTATGAACAGACAATAGTACAACAGTGGATCACTCTCTATAATATAACCTAGAGTTAGGTGATGTCTGGTGTTTCTATAAACAGACAATAGTACAACAGTGGACCACTCTCTGGAATATAACCTAGAGTTAGGTGATGTCTGGTGTTTCTAGAAACAGACGATAATACACCAGTGGACCACACTCTAGAATATAGCCCAGATTTAGGTGATGTCTGGTGTTTCTATAAACAGACAATAGTACACCAGTGGACCACTCTCTAGAATATAACCCAGATTTAGGTGATGTCTGGTGTTTCTATAAACATAGAATAGTACACCAGTGGACCACTCTCTAGAATATAACCCAGATTTTGGTGATGTCTGGTGTTTCTATAAACAGAAGATAATACACCAGTGGACCACTCTCTAGAATATAACCTAGAGTTATGTGATGTCTGGTGTTTCTATAAACAGACAATAGTACACCCGTGCACCACTCTCTAGAATATAACCCAGATTTAGGTGATGTCTGGTGTTTCTAGAAACAGACGATAGTACACCAGTGGACCACACTCTAGAATATAGCCCAGATTTAGGTGATGGCTGGTGTTTCTATAAACAGACAATAGTACAACAGTGGACACCACTCTCTAGAATATATCCCAGATTTAGGTGATGTCTGGTGTTTCTATAAACAGACGATAATACACCAGAGTATCACTCTCTTGAATATAACCCAGAGTTGGGCGATGTCTGATGTCTGATGTTTCCATTAATAGAAAATACAAGAGTTGGGTGATGTCTGTTTTCTAAAATACTTTTAATCTTTTTAGAACTGGACCACTTGTGTGTAAATATCTTAGAAATGATTAATAGAGGATGGAAACTGTCAGGAAATCAATAAAATAACAGACATTCATTCTGGTTCCTGCAAGTTCTGGTTCTTACAGTTTCTAGTACCTAATTTTTTTTGTTCCTGCAATTTCTAATTCCTGCATATTATGGTTACTACAGTTTCTTGATGCTAAACTTTCTTAATCCTATAGTTTCTAATCTTGTAGATTATTGTTTGCAGTTGAAATATTTTCTAGAATGAATCTTACCTGTTTTATTAATTTTACCAGCCACAGTAAATTTAGAAGCATCACTCTCCTCTACTCTGTTTTTCCATGTTGTTTTGTTGACGTCAAGTTGACTCAGGCGATCAGACAAACTGATTGGTCGACTCTCCGCCAGACCTTTTTTCTCGCGTAGTTTGATCTCTTGAGGACTGTCGAAATCCAGACATTTTGGACCAACACGTTTCTTCCATTCTTCATCTCCACTTTTCTTCAAAGCGTTTAACCTTCAAAAAAAAAATCAGTATATTAACAATTTGTTCAGTTGATAATATAGACACATCACAAAATATTAAAAGACAATATTTAAAGGAAGGTCCATTCTGTTGTTGCTTATTATTTTATTCTGCATCTTATAACCTTGAACTAAGTTTAGTAACCTAGGGCCATGTTCCACAAAATACCTTACAATAAGGATTTCCTGTCAATGTAGAATTTCACATTGAGAAATATTATATCAAAGACAAAAATTGACTGTAAGATTTTGTTGAACAAGGCCTAGAAATCTAAAACTGTAGGTGCCAGGAAGACAAGGAAAAGCACAATTTGTAATACATGTAAATTTTAACATGTTTCTTTGTTATTATTAATATAAATAAGATTACAATCTGTTTCTCGTCAGATGGGGAAAATCAACTCCATTCCATTCTCTCCCTTCACTGCTTCTGAACTATCCGAAACATTGCAGTCATAGCATAGCAGATTTTTATTTTGTGACTGTTATATTCTACTCTTTCATAGTCAAGAACAGTTGGTATCTGAATGACAAATTCCAATCTGTGTTGGGGCAAATCTGTGTTTTTCTCAAATAAACCAAAGTATAAAATAATTCAAGCGAAAATCTTCCACCAATAGACAGACAAAACAAGAATAAAAATTTACACTAACAAACAAAAATGCCAATTTCTCAGAAATTTGTTGACAATTTTTAAAACTTTACCAGTCCAAAATAGAATTAATACAAATCAAGAGACATGAAACAAACAGAGAAATTGTCAACTATTAAAAGAAGTTTGAAAGGAACAGGTGTGCCATTGTGAGGAGTTGATTTTAATCTTGAATAAATATAAATAGTCTTCAGAAATACTAGAAATGTACGAAAATCGTATAATTCCTTAAAAATACATCAAACTAGGAATTTTACTCACTATTTCTATATGAGTCTTTTCTATATATCATAGAGTATCTTAAATTGACGATTCGTCATTTTAACATTCAATCGTGGATAATTCTGGACACAAATGGATTTTAAGCCTCAAATTTCAGTGATGAGCGGTGAACACTATTACTGATTGGTTTAGATAAAAAAATTCTGTTTCTGAGACTAACATATGATTGGTCAAAAAATGACACACTTGTTCCTTTAAAGGAAACCTTAAACCACATTATGATGCAAGTTGATGACTACTCCTATCAGTAAGTGAAATATTAAAAAACAGTCAGTTTATCCAAAGAGTTGAGAAAAACAAAGTATTACAAGGTCTTCACACTTTTTCTCCAGAATATTCCATAAAACTGCAAATATTCTGTTCCCTATTACACATAGCTACATATCAAATAATGTTTATTTAATAATGGTATTTAGGGTTGCCATCCATATCAGAGAGTCCTCATAGCTAATAATGTTTATTTGGTATTTAGGTTTATCAACTCAGCCTCCCTTTAAGAGAGTCCACATAGCTTTGTATTCTCGAAACGATCTTAGTGCTAGGATGTCTTAGAAACAGTGTTAGAAGTTAAGACCCTAAGACATCCTAGCGCGATGATAGTTTTCAGAACACACTCCCTGTATTACATTGTATAAAAATAAAAATATCATAACATGCTGAGTTCCAGACTTCCTACTCCGCCATTCCTATACCTTAATCTTTCTCTCCTCTTATCATACGGCACTCTTCGAAATTTAAAATTATTAACAAATTACATTATCAGATTGAAAACAAAACGTCAGTTTCAGAAACAGGGGATTACCATGATTCAAAACGGTAAAAATATATATTTATTAACAAATTACATTATCACAAACTGATCTGAAATTATTAACTGTAGGGGGAGCTGCAGTGGACATTTCTGTCAATGAAGTGATTCTGTCATCTAGTATCTTAAAGCTCGTGAATCTTAAATCCTATTTCAAAATACGTGATAAGTATTTGAGCTTGACAATTATAACAATATAAATCTCATAACAAAACAAGTGATGTCAGTGAGGATATGTTTATTCTACTGAACCACCTGAT